GGACCCAGGGCGCAAACGAGACCATCACCAGTTTCGTCGAGGATGTTCCGCGCCTGGTCGCTGGCGCCGACCTTCAAGCCACCGACAAAAAAAAAAGCTGCGGATCCTGATGCGAGGTGTGAAGGATGGCATCTTCGGAGGTCTCGTTCGCAACCCCCCATTCGCCGTCCAAGATTTCGTCACGGAGGCCACGAACATGGAACGTGCCCTCCTCGCGAGAGCAAGCCACTATCATCGGCACTCGAGCGTCGCTGCTTCTTCTGCATCGGGCTACGACATCAGCCCTAGCATCCCCGGCCTTCGCGACATCATCCGCGACGTCGTAAACGAGGAGGTTAAGAAGCTTTTGCCGACTGCTGAGCGCCCGGCCACAATCTCCATCGCCGAGGTCGTCCGGGAAGAAGTTCAGCAGGCGCTGCAGCCACAAGTTCTTGCCAGCGTCGCTCCCCGAACCACCGACGCTGAGCTACGCCGCAGCTACCCGACGACCGCCACCCCCTACTTACCCGTATATGGCGCCACCCAGACGTGAACCTCCAGCGCCGCAGTTTTCCCGACGCCAGGAAGATCGGGCGCACGCCCACACAGAACAAGCAGCGCCACGAAAGACCGACGTGTGGAGGACGGCCGATCGACGCCCGTTGTGCTCTCAATGCGGTGAAGCCGGCCACATTTACCGTCGATGCCCCTACAGACAATTGGGGCTGCGCGGGTTCCACCCGAGCGACCCGCGCCCAAGGTACGACGAACGCCCTCGCGACATCGAGGAGTACCTCCGACGCTCGCCCTCGCCAGTGTCGTCTCTCCGCCGTGAAGCCCGCTCCCCATCGCCACGACCTTCAGCGTCCCCAGCGCCACGACCCCGCCGTGAAGCCCGCTCCCCATCGCCACGACGTTCAGCGTCCCCAGCGCCACGACCCCGCCGAGAGAGCCTGTCTCCAATGCGTCGCCGGGAAAACTGAGTGCGGCAACGCTTGGAGATTACGTTGCCGAAAACGACAAAAGCAAACAGCCTCCAAAAACGTCGGAGCGCTCCCACACTCCCGACGCCCCGCATCGCACCGACGTCCCTGCAACGGTGTCCAACAACCTAAACGTTGTTATCGACGGCCACGACGCATCGGCAACTCGTTGACATCGGAGCAGATTACTCAGTATTGACTGGGAGGCTCTCTCGCCACCTTCGAAAAGGCACGACGCCGCGGGATGGACCGCAAATACGAACCGCCGGAGGACACCTTATTTCGCCTGTCGGAAGGTGCACCGCTCGCGTCGAAATTCACCGCGAGACGTGTCCTGTGAAATTCGTCATTCTACAAGACTGTTCCAGAGACGTCATTCTCGGCATGGACTTTCTGTGTGAATACGGTGCCGTCATCGACCTTGGAGAAAACAAATTGACGCTGCGGACACCTGTTCCGCCTTCCGAAAAAATCCAAACTGCGTCAGCCGCCGCCCGAGTCGCTGCCGACCACGTGAATCTGCCGCCGCGATCAAGTGTTGTCATACCCGTCGTGATCGATGCAGCTACCCGCAGCGAAGTTCTTCTGGAGAGTAACCTTCAATTGCTCCTGGGAAGAGGAATAGCCGTCGCAAGAGGAGCCGCTGAACTTCAGGATTGGCGCACTGTGGTCCTCGTGACGAATTTTCGACAAGAAACGGAACACCTCAGTAAAGGTGCAGCTGTGGCCATGTCGAGGAACTCCGAAACTCCGCCAAAGTCGCTGCGATTGCTGAAGAATCGTCGCCACCTCAGGCAGGAAGACTCTAAGTCGCCAGCGCCGCTCGACATTGACACCAAGCTTCCGGGCCTAAAACGACAGCAGCTAAGTGACCTCCTCGCCGAATACAGCGACTGCTTTGCGACGTCGTCAAAGGTGCGTCAAACCACCGTTGCGAAGCATCGCATTGTTACCGAGGACGACGCACTCCCTGTAGATCGATCGCCATACCGAGTCACAGTAAAAGAAAGGGAGGTCATACAGGAACAAGTACAAAAAATGCTGAACGACGACATAATCCAGCCTTCCAGCAGTCCATAGGCCTCTCGGTCGTACTGGTTAAGAAGAAAGACGGAACGCTTAGGTTTTGCATGGACTACCGACAGCAGAACGCGGTGACCAAGTAAGACGTCTACCCACTCCCCCGCATAGACGACACGGTAGACCGGCTGCGCCAATCTCGATATTTTTCATCGATGGACCTGAAGAACGGCTACTGGAAGATGGAAGTCGACGAGTGTGACCTAGAAAAGACCGCTTTCGTCACGCCAGATGGACTGTACGAGTTTAAGGTAATGCCGTTTGGACTATGCACGGCGCCAGCAACTTTCCAGCGTGCCATAGACACCGTACTGGCTGGGCTCAAATGGCACAGCTGTCTCGTCTACCTTGACGACGTCGTAGTGTTCTCAAGCGACTTCGACGAGCACTTGCGACGACTACGAGCTGTTCTCCAGGCCATACAGACCGTCGGGCTTACCCTTAAGCCATCGAAGTGTCGGTTCGCCTATGACGAACTGAAGTTCCTAGGACACGTGGTTAGCAATGATGGCGTCCGCCCAGACCCAGAGAAGACTGGCGCCGTCGCGGCATTTCCAGCGCCGGCAGACAAAGAGGCCGTGCAAAGGTTCCTGGGACTATGTGCGTACTATTGGCGATTCGTTCGGGATTTCGCAAGGATTTCGGCACCGCTCACAAACCTCACGAAGGACACCGAGAAGTTCGAATGGGCCGAAGAGCAGCAGCAGGCATTCGACGAGCTGAAGCGACGACTCCAGATTCCCCCTGTTCTTGGACATTTCGATCAGCATGCCGAAACCGAGATTCACACGGACGCAAGTAACGCAGGACTTGGTGCGGTACTGGTTCAACTACAAGAAGGCACCGAGCGAGTCATTGCCTACGCAGGTGGGACACTATCCAAGGCGGAAAAAAATTACTTCACGACTGATAAAGAATGCCTCGCGGTCATCTCGGCAATCACAAAGTTTTGTTCGTACGTATACGGGAGCCCGTTCCGCGTAGTCACGTGCCACCATTCGCTCTGCTGGTTTGCCAACCTCGAGGACCCGTCAGGACGCCTCGCTCGATGGAGTCTTCGACTACAGGAGTTCAACATGACTGTGGTCTACAAGTCGGGCCGCAAGCACAGGGACGCCGACTGCCTGTCTGGTGCACCCTTTGAAACACCTTTCGGCAGCAGCGACGACGATGAAGACGAGTGCTTCCTAGGCGCGGCGAACACCGACGACATGGCACGACGTCACCGAGACGATCCTGAGCTGCGTGCACTAATAGAGCACCTGGAAAGGCGCGGGAGTTCCCTGCCACGTGTTTTCTTATGTGCCCCGTCGACCTTCGTCATGCGACAAGGTGTACTCGTCAAAGAGAACTTCAGGGACAACAAATTGCCGTGGCTGCTGGTACTCCCGACTGATCTTCGAGAAGAGATCTTCCAAGCCCGCCACGACAACCCGACGTCCGGACAACTTGATTACAGCCGACACTTGCCCATATTCGTGAAAAGTATTACTGGCCCAAGCTCCCCAAGACCTATACACACGATCATGCCACGAGTGCCAGCGACGCAAGAAACCTCCGACGAGGCCGGCCGGACTCCTGCAGCCCATTTCTCCTCCAACTGCACCCTTCTAGCAGATCGGAATGGATCTACTTGGTCCTTTTCCGCCGTCGACGTCGGGGAACCGCTGGATCATCCTGGCCACAGATTATCTCACGCGGTACGCCGAAACGAAAGCCCTTCCTTCAGGGACTTCTGTGGAAGTTGCCAAGTTTTTCATGGAGCCCATCGTCCTCCGGCACGGCGCTCCAGAAGTTCTGATTACAGATCGCGGATCATCGTTCATGGCACAGCTAATCCAAGAAATACTCCGACTCAGTCACACCAGGCATCGTTGTACAACTGCGTACCACCCGCAGACCAACGGGCTGACGGAGCGACTCAACAAGACAATCGCCGACATGATCTCCCTGTACGTCGACGAAGAGCACAAGACGTGGGACGAGGTGTTGCCCTACGTCACGTTCGCCTACAATACGGCTGTTCAAGAGACCACTGGATTCACACCCTTCCAGCTGGTACATGGTCGGAAAGTAACGACCATGCTGGACGCGATGCTGCCCCATGAGCCAGCTGACAGTGAGAGCGACGACGCCCAGGTGGTTGCTCAACGGGCCGAAGAAGTCCGCCAGCTCGCCCGACTCCTGATTCAAGACCAGCAACGCGTCGACGCGGGCCGCTACAACCTTCGTCGCAGGGACGTCCACTTCCAGCCCGGAGACAGGGTGTAGGTATGGACGCCCATCCGTCGCCGCGACCTCAGTGAGAAATTGCTGAAACGATACTTTGGACCGTACAAGGTACTTCGTCGCCTCGGGGAGCTGAACTACGAGGTGATGCCCGACGGTGCAAGAACATCATCACGCCGCCCACCACGACCTGAAGTCGTCCACGTCGTTCGTGTAAAGCCGTACTACGCTCGATAGGACTGTGGACCTTATGTGTGCCAAAAGACTCCTTTGTTCACCGTTTCTTTTCATGTGCTCTGTTTTGTTTTGAGTTGCGTCGGGGCAATGCACTTTTTAAAGGGGGGACTAATGCCACGCGCGCAGCTGACCAAGTAGGCAGCGCGCGCATGGCGTAACGGTTATCGTGCCTGCCTCTTACGCGAAAAGCCAGGGTTCGATTCCTGGGAGCGACGCATCTTTTGTTATTCCTGCAATTTAGTTCTCTGGTCAATTCGAGAATCCAGTTGCTTGTTCGAAGTCCGAATGTTCTACGCGTCGAAAATTCTACGCCGATTATTCCAGAAGCCCACGCATGTACTACATTAGGGGCTCCCCGTGGCGAGCCGCAGTCAGTTTCGCCCCAGCGTTCGACTCTGCTGTCACGCTGACTTCGACGCCCGCGACGCTCTGCTTTATTCTGTTCTCTTTTTTTTTATTTTTAGGCACAAGTTCGCTCCATTAAACGTTTAGTTTCTTCAGTTATTATCGCCTCATCACTTGTCATTTGTGACAATATGAATGCGTCGCGCGACCGATAAGGAGCTGTTCATGTATCGGTCGCGTCATGGACTGCTCGACATTGAGAACCTCAGCAGTGCAGTGTTCAAACAGCAGTTCCGGTTTGATAAAGGAGATTTTGACGATCTCGCTCGCGGTCTCCTGATGCCGGAGTTCGTGACCAGCAGTCAGGACGTAGTCGTGCCCGGCCGGGAAGCGTTGTGTCTGACATTTCGGAGGCTCGCCTACCCGAATAGATGGTGCGACCTCGAGCCAGTCTTCGGAAGACGTGCCTCAGTGATGTTGAGCGTCACTTCTCAAGCGCTGCAGCACATCTCGCAAACTTTTGGTCACCTTCTGACCAACTGCAACAATCATGAGTGGCTGACGCCTGCCAGGATGGTGGAGTTTGCGAGTGTAAGTCGGCTTCCTTTTCCGGTTTCGGTGTCAAAAAATGCGAACTTTGGAGTACTGAGACCTCGGTGGGCTTTTAAGGAACCCCAGCTGTGGTCTAAACTAATTGAGAGTCTTCCGTTCAGACTCGTGCTATGCTTACCTAGCTTCTGGGACGTCAAAATAACAGGGCACTGTTGTTACACAGTTGGCTTTGTTAATTTTGCTGGCACTGCACACTGAACAGACCGTCTTCCAAACAATGCTTGATATCTAGTGCATGCAATCCAGCTTTCATAGTTCTGTTAACAGACAAACACAATATTTTTACTGCCAGTGGCTCAATTATACCTGCCCATTAGCTATCCCAAATTCAAGCACGAGTAATATGTACAGAAGAAAATGCAAAAGATAACACCTAAAAGAGTAAAAAAATACACAGGCTTAAAATCTTTTTTGAAGCCATCATATTCTTATAAGTATTTTAGAGCTAGCAAGGCAAGTATTCAGGTTGAAGTGTATAATGGAAGTTACTCTTAATAAGACGAGACTATATTGTACCGAGCTCATTTTGCGCACTCGTCTTGAACATATATTGCTAATCTTTTACCTATTCTCAGCCGCCACAGAAATTTGTGAATTCGGCGTTGACACGGCACTTTAGCTATTGTTTCCTTTTGGCTCGCTCACTTGTCATCACTTTCTCATTAGATGTGGAAGCTTGCATCGAAGACTTGCTTGTACCATGACTATCACTTCACTAATCCGGGTCTTTAAAAGAAGATTAGAAACGATTACAACAAAGTCATAAAGGAAAACTATATATCTTGGTTTGCTTCTTCTCTTCAAGGCTGTCCACAACAAGGGTGGGCCTTTGCCCAACTGTTGGGACTTCATTGATGGCACGGGTCGCCCCATGTGCCGCCCGAAAAGGAACCAGAAGGCGTACTTCTCTGGCCACAAAAGGATGCACGTGGCAAAATATCAGTCCATAATGTGTCCCAACGGCATTGTCTGCCCGCTCGATGGGCCATATCCTGGAAGGCGGCACGATGCAGGTAATTTAACAAATAGCGTGGAAGTAGAGCTGCGTATCGGTGCACCACATGCAGCTGCATTTCGTGTTTAAATGTGGCAACAGGTGATTTGGTCACGAAAATTTTCACTTACTGTAGGGATCGCTTGAGAATTTTGTCGTTTCCTGGAAACTGAGTGAATCGACCTTCAACCGTTCGAATGGGGGCACCCCGACGGCTCGCCCCGAGCATAGGGGGATGAGCGGCTTGAGCCCTTTTTAATCTTTGGCCCGGGAAGGAGACAGACATTCTTGCCTGTCGCCGCGAGGTAGTGGCATCCTCCCCGGCTTTGTCGTCACGGCGCGTTCCCAGTGACGGCTTGTCCAGTCGGGAGACTGCTACAATGAGGTTTTAGCGATGAGGGGCGCCGGTCTAGGTCCACTTGGACTCTATTACGCTTTACTCGCTAAGTTCGAAGGTCACGGCGCCAATTTGTTTTGACGCGGCGAAGTGGGGATGTTTTCCCCGTAAAGCGGTAAGGTATCGCCCCGATTGAAGAGTTCCCCTAGGGGTTTAGCATTGTTTCTCTTTTTAGAAAAGGGAAATAACAAGTTCGGTGGCCTTTCTGTGATTGGTGGAGGACCCGCTGGCACTGGGGCCAATAGAATTGTATAATCGTCCTGATTGGACAGGCCCTGTGTCAGCGGGGAGTTTTCTCGTCCGCGCTGGCGAGGAAACGTTGAGTTTGAACAAGCCCGTGCGCGGAGCAAGTTATCTCCCGCGGTCCGCCGGTCCGCGTAGCTTTGTCGCGAGCGACGAGCAGTTTCTTTGAGCCTCACCGTGCGCGGTGGGCACTTTGCGCCGAGGCGCGGTTTTTTTGGTATTTCTACAGCCGTGAGCGGACAGTAGAGTCCTGTAACCAAGTTTGCTGTTGACGTTTTAATACATTTATTTTTATCAACCGTTGCTCTCGACTTTGAGCGTCTTTCCTCGAGGCTCCGCCACCACCAACAGGCACCGAAGCGACCATCCAGCGCGGCTGTCCACGATCGCCCGGCCCTGACCTACAACTTCTAGGAAGGACCGGGACAAAACAACCTGGTGACCCTCAGGGAGGGACACGAACAGTGCTTTTACTGATGTTTAAAATGAAGAACAGCGTGACAACAAACCAAGAATATTCTCCCAACACCTTATACAAGCTGCATTTCGTGTATGAAGGGTCTAATATGATGCAGCTACAGCATGCTTTATTTATTCTCGGAATGTGCAATAATAGTAGAAGTGTCTGTGATGCAGTACTGTGGAAACAGATTTGTAAATCATGTACCATAGCATGTGCCCTTACCCTTCCGCTCCGTCAGCTCAGACCGGCTGCATCTCTATGTTCCTGTTTATCTGGTTATGCATGCGTCTGCAACATTTTATGTAGATGCTGCTGTATCTTTGGATAACTCACTCACTATTGAGCACTTGAGGTCATTTGTTTCACAGTTTTGTGGAGTCTGCGCAGCCTCTTCTTCTGATGCCCCTCCACCCGTGTGAATTTTAAAGGACAGAACAAATTGATGAAGGAAGACTTGTCACAATGCATTGCAGAGTGGCTGCCCACAATCGATTAACCATTCCATACTCTTAATTTGTCTATGCCACATTTTCTAATTTTGTTTTTCGTGAGCTTTGACAGCTTGACAAGGCAGTCCTCGTTTATAGCTTCTTTTGCTACAAAAAAATTCAAAACGTTCATAAATCTCTGTAATGCTTTTTTAGAGCGCACCTTTTGAGTTGGAGGAGGAGGGGAGGGTATGCCCCTGCCCCTCATCCTCTCCACTCCTCCTCCAATTCAGTTTCCCTGCTAAATTTAGCGGAGAAAATGGCGTCACATGACTTGGTGTCATGTCACTTATGAACAAATTCAGTTATTTAATGGAAAAATTCATGTCACGTGACCTCCCAACACCAATTCCATTCCCCGCTAGTTAGCAAGGAATCGAATTGGTGTTGAGGTCACGTGATACCAATTTTCCCACTACATCTAGCGGAGAAACTGAACTTGTCCGCTAAATCTAGCGGAGAAACTGAATTTCCCCGCTGAATTTAGCGGAGAATTGGATTGGTGTCGAGGTCACATAGCCGGGAATTAAATTGTTGTTGAGGTAACGTAGCGGGGAATCGAATTGGTGTCGAGGTAACGTAGCGGGGAATTAAATTGTTGTTGAGGTCACGTAGCGGGGAATTGAATTGGTGTCAAGATAACGTGGCGGGGAATTAAATTGTTGTTGAGGTCACATAGCGGGGAATGGAATTGGTGTCAAGGTAACGTAGCGGGGAATTAAATTGTTGTTGAGGTCACATAGCGGGGAATTGAATTGGTGTCAAGGTAACGTAGCGGGGAATTAAATTGTTGTTGAGGTCACATAGCGGGGAATGGAATTGGTGTCAAGGTAACGTAGCGGGGAATTAAATTGTTGTTGAGGTCACATAGCGGGGAATGGAATTGGTGTCAAGATAACGTGGCGGGGAATTAAATTGTTGTTGAGGTCACATAGCGGGGAATGGAATTGGTGTCAAGGTAACGTAGCGGGGAATTAAATTGTTGTTGAGGTCACATAGCGGGGAATTGAATTGGTGTCAAGATAACGTGGCGGGGAATTAAATTGTTGTTGAGGTCACATAGCGGGAAATGGAATTGGTGTCAAGGTAACGTAGCGGGGAATTAAATTGTTGTTGAGGTCACATAGCGGGGAATGGAATTGGTGTCAAGATAACGTGGCGGGGAATTAAATTGTTGTTGAGGTCACATCGCGGGGAATGGAATTGGTGTCAAGGTAACGTAGCGGGGAATTAAATTGTTGTTGAGGTCACATAGCGGGGAATTGAATTGGTGTCAAGGTAACGTAGCGGGGAATTAAATTGTTGTTGAGGTCAGGTAGCGGGGAATTGAATTGGTGTCAAGGTAACGTAGCGGGGAATTAAATTGTTGTTGAGGTCACGTAGCGGGGAATTGAATTGGTGTCAAGGTAACGTAGCGGGGAATTAAATTGTTGTTGAGGTCACGTAGCGGGGAATTGAATTGGTGTCAAGGTAACGTAGCGGGGAATTAAATTGTTGTTGAGGTCACATAGCGGGAAATTGAATTGGTGTCAAGGTAACGTAGCGGAGAATTAAATTGTTGTTGAGGTCACATAGCGGGAAATTGAATTGGTGTCAAGGTAACGTAGCGGGGAATTAAATTGTTGTTGAGGTCACATAGCGAGAAATTGAATTGGTGTCAAGGTAACGTAGCGGGGAATTAAATTGTTGTTGAGGTCACGTAGCGGGGAACTGAATTGGTGTCAAGGTAACGTAGCGGGGTCACGTAGCGGGGAACAGCTCTTCTGCTGTTCCCTGTTCGCCGGAGCCTGCAATTGTATTCAATGCAATTGAAACGCTTTTTCGTAAGAACTTGATGCTACATGTAGGCGTTCCAAAGAAAATAGTCCTCTGATCACCGTACGAAAAAAACGCCAGATACAAGCACTAACAAATTTAGCTTTTTTTTTTTTTTTTTTTTTTTTTTTTTTATGAGCAGGATTACATGTAAAAATCGACTTGGTGAACTAGATCGGCGAGTCTCGCGATCAGCGCAGTCTCGCGACGCAGCCGCCGAGTTTCATACTGCTGCCGGAGTCGTAAACCGCTCGCGAGCAGGGGTGGCCGCAGCCCCGTTTACTTACGGCGCCGCTGAAGTCAGCTGCGTTGCCGGCGACCACCAAAACATCGGCAGCGGAGTCTCGCGCCGCAGCCGCCGAGCTTCGTGCTGCTGCCGGAGTCCTGGAGCGCTCGCGAGCAGGAGTCGCTGCAGCCCCGTTCCCTTTGCGAAGAGCTCTGAACTTGTACCCGAACTCCCTGGCCAAATCCACAAGTTCTTGGAGCAGATGCTCCAGCTCGCTCTACTCTTCTTCCGTTCCAGACCTGTAAGGAAGGTGCATCGGAAATCCTAGTACTGGCCTTATTAGGCTTCATATTTACATTTGGCTACATTACAGTGTGAACTGCAGTTAGACACCAAACCAACTTACTTTCGAAGATTTGTACGGTCGTCCGAGGCGTACTGTGCGAGGGGTGTATCTCGAAACAACCCATTCTTATTTGAACCCTTTTCGTTTGAACCAATTTGCAAAACGCCCTTCTCGTTTTAACCTTTCGCGTTTCGACCCTTTCTTATTTATACCCGTCTCATTTGAACCCATTCTCATTTGAACCCTTCTCGTCTGAACTCATTCGCAAAACACCCTTCGCGTTTTAACCTATCGCGTTTCGACCCTTTCTCATTTGAACCCGTTTCATTTGAGCGCCGTAGTGAGGTATAGCAAGAAGGAAAAACAGTTGAGGATGAAGGTTTAAGATGAAGCGAAGCGGCGCCATCTCTTGCATAGCACATGAAACAATTTTCCTTATGCCTCCGTGCCACCCCGAGCCTGTTGACGTAGCTACGTGGTCACATGGTGACGTGGTTTCAAAAGTGCTAGAGCAGATTTGGTACTTCATTTCTCTTCTGTCGCTGTATGTCGTTAAGATGTCGTCGTTTGGAGAGGATGGATCATTGTGCTAGTCGTGTGTTATTGCTTGTAATGGCCGATTCGGATGGTCATTTTCCCTGAAAAAAAGTTTTCCCATATCTTCGGCAAGGGCGTTCGCGTGGTCAAAGGCTGGCGGGTGCAAGCTTTTCGGGTTGCGCTTCTCAGTCGTGCACCGGCAATTTACCAGCAGAAGTTTTCCCGAGCTCCAAGTGGTCGGGCAGCTTGTCTGCCAGACTGCATCCGGTATCGTCACATCCGAATCGGGATAGGGAACCAAACGAAACAATGCTCGCTGAGGCGGCAAATAGCGGGTTCGAATGGCAAACGAAGCCATCGAGACAGGCACCCTTTTGTGCTCTGAGACAAAATAGCAAAAACAACGAAGAGAAAGATAATTTATGTTTCAAAGAAAGTCAACATTTTTGGAAGAATCTATCCACCCTGAGCAAGGTATGTTTGCTCTGAGACACGGGCTGCATCATACATCACTTTATTCTACAGCTCTGTAATAACAAGGTATTACACTTATAATTATAATGCAATTAAATGCAAAGGTGCAAGCGAGCTGGACAAGAATGAC